AGTCTTGTCAATTATTATTCTTTTTCACTAGTGTTCCTTTCATCTTATTTCTCTTGCTTTTCCACCAAGTAGTAATAGTCTTAAGTTGTCTGAATTACTTCGATAAAGCCTTGTCAGTTATTATTCATTTTTCACTAGTATTTCTTTCATCTTATTTCTCTTGCTTTTCCACCAAGTAGTAATAGTCTTAAGTTGTCTGAATTTCTTAGATGAAGCCTTGGCAATTATTATTCATTTTTCACTAGTATTTCTTTCATCTTATTTCTCTTGCTTTTCCACCAAGTAGTAATAGTCTTAAGTTGTCTGAATTTCTTAGATGAAGCCTTGTCAATTATTATTCATTTTGACTAGTATTTCTTTCATCTTATTTCTCTTGCTTTTCCACCAAGTAGTAATAGTCTTAAGTTTTCTGAATTTCTTAGATGAAGCCTTGGCAATTATTATTCATTTTGATTTAGTATTTCTTTCATCTTATTTCTCTTGTTTTTCCACCAAGTAGTAATAGTCTTAATAGCCCTAAGTTTTCTGAATTTCTTAGATGAAGTCTTGTCAATTATTATTCATTTTTGATTAGTATTTCTTTCATCTTATTTCTCTTGCTTTTCCACCAAGTAGTAATAGTCTTAAGTTGTCTGAATTTCTTAGATGAAGCCTTGGCAATTATTATTCATTTTTGACTAGTATTTCTTTCATCTTATTTCTCTTGCTTTTCCACCAAGTAGTAATAGTCTTAAGTTGTCTGAATTTCTTAGATAAAGCCTTGTCAATTATTATTCATTTTGACTAGTATTTCTTTCATCTTATTTCTCTTGCTTTTCCACCAAGTAGTAATAGTCTTAAGTTGTCTGAATTTCTTAGATGAAGCCTTGGCAATTATTATTCATTTTGACTAGTATTTCTTTCATCTTATTTCTCTTGCTTTTCCACCAAGTAGTAATAGTCTAAAGTTGTCTGAATTTCTTAGATGAAGCCTTGGCAATTATTATTCATTTTGATTTAGTATTTCTTTCATCTTATTTCTCTTGCTTTTCCACCAAGTAGTAATAGTCTTAAGTTGTCTGAATTTCTTAGATGAAGCCTTGTCAATTATTATTCATTTTTGACTAGTATTTCTTTCATCTTATTTCTCTTGCTTTTCCACCAAGTAGTAATAGTCTTAAGTTGTCTGAATTTCTTAGATGAAGCCTTGGCAATTATTATTCATTTTGACGAGTATTTCTTTCATCTTATTTCTCTTGCTTTTCCACCAAGTAGTAATAGTCTTAAGTTGTCTGAATTTCTTAGATAAAGCCTTGTCAATTATTATTCATTTTTCACTAGTATTTCTTTCATCTTATTTCTCTTGCTTTTCCACCAAGTAGTAATAGTCTTAAGTTGTCTGAATTTCTTAGATGAAGCCTTGTCAATTATTATTCATTTTTCACTAGTATTTCTTTCATCTTATTTCTCTTGCTTTTCCACCAAGTAGTAATAGTCTTAAGTTGTCTGAATTTCTTAGATGAAGCCTTGTCAATTATTATTCATTTTGACGAGTATTTCTTTCATCTTATTTCTCTTGCTTTTCCACCAAGTAGTAATAGTCTTAAGTTGTCTGAATTTCTTAGATGAAGCCTTGGCAATTATTATTCATTTTTGACTAGTATTTCTTTCATCTTATTTCTCTTGCTTTTCCACCAAGTAGTAATAGTCTTAAGTTGTCTGAATTTCTTAGATGAAGCCTTGGCAATTATTATTCATTTTGACGAGTATTTCTTTCATCTTATTTCTCTTGCTTTTCCACCAAGTAGTAATAGTCTTAAGTTGTCTGAATTTCTTAGATGAAGTCTTGTCAATTATTATTCATTTTTCACTAGTATTTCTTTCATCTTATTTCTCTTGCTTTTCCACCAAGTAGTAATAGTCTTAAGTTGTCTGAATTTCTTAGATGAAGCCTTGGCAATTATTATTCATTTTGATTAGTATTTCTTTCATCTTATTTCTCTTGCTTTTCAACCAAGTAGTAATAGTCTTAAGTTGTCTGAATTTCTTAGATAAAGCCTTGTCAATTATTATTCATTTTTGATTAGTATTTCTTTCATCTTATTTCTCTTGCTTTTCCACCAAGTAGTAATAGTCTTAAGTTGTCTGAATTTCTTAGATGAAGCGTTGGCAATTATTATTCATTTTTGACTAGTATTTCTTTCATCTTATTTCTCTTGCTTTTCCACCAAGTAGTAATAGTCTTAAGTTGTCTGAATTTCTTAGATGAAGCGTTGGCAATTATTATTCATTTTTGACTAGTATTTCTTTCATCTTATTTCTCTTGCTTTTCCACCAAGTAGTAATAGTCTTAAGTTGTCTGAATTTCTTAGATGAAGCCTTGTCAATTATTATTCATTTTTTTGACTAGTATTTCTTTCATCTTATTTCTCTTGCTTTTCCACCAAGTAGTAATAGTCTTAAGTTGTCTGAATTTCTTAGATGAAGCCTTGGCAATTAAATTTTATTTTTCATCTTATTTCCTTTTTCAATTATTATTCAGTTTTGAATTTCTTAGATAAAGTCAATTATTTTCATTTTTCATAGTATTTCTTTCATCTTATTTCTCTTGCTTTTCCACCAAGTAGTAATAGTCTTAAGTTGTCTGAATTTCTTAGATGAAGCCTTGTCAATTATTATTCATTTTTCACTAGTATTTCTTTCATCTTATTTCTCTTGCTTTTCCACCAAGTAGTAATAGTCTTAAGTTGTCTGAATTTCTTAGATGAAGCCTTGGCAATTATTATTCATTTTGACGAGTATTTCTTTCATCTTATTTCTCTTGCTTTTCCACCAAGTAGTAATAGTCTTAAGTTGTCTGAATTTCTTAGATAAAGCCTTGGCAATTATTATTCATTTTTCACTAGTATTTCTTTCATCTTATTTCTCTTGCTTTTCCACCAAGTAGTAATAGTCTTAAGTTGTCTGAATTTCTTAGATGAAGCCTTGGCAATTATTATTCATTTTTCACTAGTATTTCTTTCATCTTATTTCTCTTGCTTTTCCACCAAGTAGTAATAGTCTTTCATTTCTGTCATGTGATTACAAAATAACATGTTTTCAACAAAATCTCCTTCCTTGTCAATGCACTTAACCCAAGAAAATATCTTTCTGAAGCTGAATGTTTTATTGTGAAATTATCTGCTTTCCACTGTATCACTTTAAAGGAAATATGGATTTTGTTTTTTTTCATTTTCTTTTGAGAATCTCTTTCAGTATCAAAACTCAGTTTACATGAAATTATATACACCTATATTTTAAAAAACAAAAATTCAAACCTGTTAAACATTTCTTCCAACAAGGAAAACTTCATAAACAATTATTATCCAATTAATAATTAACACAGGCAATAATAAATCACCTGAGGACGGCCGTTGAACTGACCAAGTGAAATAAGCTTAAGAAAAAAATTATATGGATTATCATCATTAATCCCTGATTGTTTCAATCATCAGTGGGGACCTAAGAGTAGAAGAAACAGACAACTTCCTCCAGGATGATCTGTTGGCGGTGGCTCTCAGAAGTTCCAGCATTATCATGTCTGTCCACTCTTTGACGTTTTCTGACCTGCTTTTTTATTACTGTCCCCACTTGTATCTGCCTTCAACAGCGCCTTGCATGACGGTCTTACCGAGGCTGTTATGTCAAACCATGACATCTTCTGACGCTTAATAGTGGTATAGAGAGATTCCTGTCAGTCCACGATACTTCAGACCTTGCTCCATACATAGTTATTGGTTTTGTGCTCCTGAAGTAATTGACATAGACCAGCTTTCTGAAGCATTTGTTCTCAAATACCTGAATCCTTTTTCCTGCTTCAACCAGCAGTGTCCAAGTCTCACACCCGTAGATGAGGAGCGGATATGACCAGAAATCTGTAGAGCTTGAACTTGATATAAAAGCTAATGTTGCTCTTCCATATCCTTTCCAATTTGGCCACTGATACTGTGGGTATCGCAATCCATGTTTGAATTTCTGACGTGCATGTGCTATCTTTGCACAGTGTTGCCCCAAGTATTTGAAGTTGGACACTCCTTCCAGTGGTTTGCCATCTATGGAGGCACTAGTTCTGGTGTGGCTTGTACTATTCACCATTATTTTGAATTTCTTTGTGTTGAGCTACATTCTATATGCAGCAATTCTTTCAATGTGTTTGTTGGTCAGGTCTTGGGGCTCACTGCTCGCCATAAGGTCAATATCACCTATGAAACGCAGGCTGCAGACAGGTCTATCACTGATAAAGATAGAAGTGTTGTAGTCATGGATAGTTTCCAGCATAATTCTCTCCAGGAACAGGTTGAAAAGTGTTGGAGAGAGTAGGCATCCCAGGTTAATACCGATAGTCATCTGGAAGATATCTCCCACTTGAGAGAACTGCACTGGTCGGGTATGGTCAGAGAGGGCATGGTATTATATGGATACTGATCAAATTAATGATAAAATAATAATGCCGCTTCATGTGAGGATTTCAGATAACAAATACATCACGTTCCTTCCTCTACCCCCCAATGACAAATCACGTGAAATTGAGAAACCATGAAAAAACTGACACCAACTGAAACTCTAAAAATTGGAATTCTATAAAATTTCTTTTTGTTTGTATTATAAAAAAAAATGTTCTTTTTTTTTTCCATTTGTACCAATTTTGATAAAATTCTTGCTTCTTTCGGTAAGTGAATCTTTTAATGTCTTCTGGCCTTGTAGAATATAATATGACATTAACCTTATCAGGTTTTTCAACCATAAATATCAGGAGGAAAGTTAATCGTTCAGTGAGCACAGAATTTACCAAACTTTTAACACAAATACGTGCTAAGGTTTATTATTCTGCTTGTTTGTATAAAACAAAGATCAGAGTGTAGTATCTGTATAGGTCCTGGCTGGCACTTCTGAGCTGGAATCAGTTGCATTTTCTGCATGAGGAAACTTATCAAGTGGGAAGGGACTAAGAAGAGGAGGAGGAAAAGTAGGAGGTAAGAATGCTAGAAAAAGGAGGAGGGGAACTGAGGGTGTGAACGAGGAAAAGAAAGAGGTAAGAATGCTAGAGAAAGGAGGAGGGGAAAATGAAGAAATGTAGGAAGTAAAAAAAGAGAAAGGAGTAGTGAAAAAATAACTGAAGAAGGAGAGGTATGAAATAAAAATGCTGGAGAAAGGAAGAGGGGAAATAAGGGCATGAATGAGGAAAAGGAGGAGATAAGAATGCTGGAGAAAGGAAGAGGGGAAATAAGGGCATGAATGAGGAAAAGGAGGAGATAAGAATGCTGGAGAAAGGAAGAGGGGAAATAAGGGCATGAATGAGGAAAAGGAGAGATAATAAGAATGAAATGGAGAAAGGAAGATGCTGGGAAATAAGGGAAATGAATGAGGAAAAGGAGGAGATAAGAATGCTGGAGAAAGGAAGAGGGGAAATAAGGGCATGAAGGAGGAAAAGGAGGAGATAAGAATGTTAGAGAAAGGAAGAGGGGAAATAAGGGTGTGTAGTAGTAAAAATTGAAGGTAAGAAGGTGAGAAAAAAACTGAAGTGAGAATGAGAGTGTGAAAGAAGAAAGGTAAAAAAGAAAAAGAAAAGCAGGTGAAAAGAATATATATATATATATATATTTTAAAAAAAATATGATTCCTTCTAATTTAAGCTCTACTTCTGTATGGAGCACTGTTTTTTAAAAATAAAAACAAAAATACTAAAAAACTCTGGATTATTTACCTAACGTGTTCCTTCCTATTTATATATATATATATATATATATATATATACACAACAGAGAAGAAAATGAATAAAGACAACAGAGACAGGCTTTTTTTTAAGGGATAAGGGAGAGAACTACAAGATACAAATGGTGAGAGAAGAACAGAGGCATGAGATCATGGCTGATTGTATTGGAAAAGATAAGAGAGATAATCAGTAGATATAGGGTTGACAGAGTTAAAAAATTCTTATACAGCTTTGTGGGTGATAGATTATCTTCCATCCTACAACCCCTTTCCCCACAGATAAAATGTTGCTAGCCTCTTGCAATTCTATTATTATTTTTAAGGCAGATATGCTACATTCCTTAGTCTCACCAGACCAGATCTTTATAACTAAGACTCGGCATCTAAACAGTCAACAAATCCTCATTCCCTTAATGTTCCTTTGGTAAGAAGCAAGTTTCCATTTGGATGGCTTCTTCTTCTGCAGGAATCTTGTTAGTTTGTCGAACAAACGACTTAAAGGATCTTTCCCTGATCACTATAATTTAACCTCTTTAAGCTTAGGGTCAATTATTATTATTATTATTTTTTTTTAATCATTTCACCCCAAGCAATGCAATAAGCTACTAAGACATAAGGTGTTATGAGTGTGAAAGAATAAGAAAAATAAATTATAATGATGCCAGAGCAAAAAAGAAGAGCAGGAATCAAGAAGGCAGTAGATAATGATTGATATTGCATTTAAATTTTTGAAGATCAAACAAAGTTGGCTGGAAAGCAAGAAGCCAGAAGAGAGTTCCATGAACAAGAAGTGTGAAAGAGGAAACTGTTAGCATAGAACTTACAGTTACATCTAGCCATTTTAACTTTAAAATGATGAGACTTTGTTGTTAATCTAGTACTGCACTTAAATTCATAAAGTCTAGGTACCAAAGAGGAAAGCTCATCAGAACAATTATCATGAAAATATTTATAGAAAAGGCAGAGGGAAGCTATATTATGGCTTAAATTCATAAAGTCTCGGTACCAAAAGAGGAAAGCTCATCAGAACAATTATCATGAAAATATTTATAGAAAAGGCAGAGGGAAGCTATATTATGGCTTAAATTCATAAAAGTCTAGGTACCAAAGAGGAAAGCTCATCAGAACAATTATCATGAAAATATTTATAGAAAAGGCAGAGGGAAGCTATATTATGGCTTAAATTCATAAAAGTCTAGGTACCAAAGAGGAAAGCTCATCAGAACAATTATCATGAAAATATTTATAGAAAAGGCAGAGGGAAGCTATATTATGGCTTAAATTCATAAAGTCTCGGTACCAAAGAGGAAAGCTCATCAGAACAATTAGCATGAAAATATTTATAGAAAAGGCAGAGGAAGCTATATTATGGCTTAAATTCATAAAGTCTAGGTACCAAAGAGGAAAGCTCATCAGAACAATTATCATGAAAATATTTATAGAAAAGGCAGAGGGAAGCTCTATTATGGCTTAAATTCATAAAGTCTAGGTACCAAAGAGGAAAGCTCATCAGAACAATTATCATGAAAATATTTATAGAAAAGGCAGAGGGAAGCTATATTATGGCTTAAATTCATAAAGTCTCGGTACCAAAGAGGAAAGCTCATCAGAACTATTATCATGAAAATATTTATAGAAAAGGCAGAGGGAAGCTATATTATGGCTTAAATTCATAAAGTCTAGGTACCAAAGAGGAAAGCTCATCAGAAAAATTAACATGAAAATATTTATAGAAAAGGCAGAGGGAAGCTATATTATGGCTTAAATTCATAAAGTCTAGGTACCAAAGAGGAAAGCTCATCAGAACAATTATCATGAAAATATTTATAGAAAAGGCAGAGGGAAGCTATATTATGGCTTAAATTCATAAAGTCTAGGTACCAAAGAGGAAAGCTCATCAGAAAAATTATCATGAAAATATTTATAGAAAAGGCAGAGGGAAGCTATATTATGGCTTAAATTCATAAAGTCTCGGTACCAAAGAGGAAAGCTCATCAGAACAATTATCATGAAAATATTTATAGAAAATGCAGAGGGAAGCTATATTATGTCTTAAATTCATAAAGTCTAGGTACCAAAGAGGAAAGCTCATCAGAAAAATTAACATGAAAATATTTATAGAAAAGGCAGAGGGAAGCTATATTATGGCTTAAATTCATAAAGTCTAGGTACCAAAGAGGAAAGCTCATCAGAACAATTATCATGAAAATATTTATAGAAAAGGCAGAGGGAAGCTATATTATGGCTTAAATTCATAAAGTCTAGGTACCAAAGAGGAAAGCTCATCAGAACAATTAGCATGAATATATTTATAGAAAAGGCTGAGGGAAGCTATACTATGGCTTAAATTCATAAAGTCTAGGTACCAAAGAGGAAAGCTCATCAGAACAATTCGCATGAAAATATTTATAGAAAAGGCAGAGGGAAGCTATATTATGGCTTAAATTCATAAAGTCTAGGTACCAAAGAGGAAAGTTCATTATATATATATAAAAAAAAAAAAGCACAGGTAAGTGATATTATGGTAGTAGGAAATGGACTGAAGCTGGGATGCCACATCAGGACCAATAACATTGCAGATTCTACAAGGTGTTAATGAGTGTGAAAGAATAAAGAAAAAGAAAAACACTCTTAAGGAACAGGAACAATAAAGGAAAAGGAATCAAGAAGACAGTAGATAATTGACATAGCATTAAAATTTTTGAAGTTGGCTGGAAAGCAAGGAGCTGGAAGAGAGTTCCACAACCGAGAAGTGATAGAAAATAAATTTTTAGCAAAGAACTTATGGTTACATTTTGTTAATTCAGTTGTAAGATGATGAGACCTTATTCACAATCTAGTACGGTACTTAAATTCATGAATTTTACTTTGTTTTTTATCAACTTACTTATAGGTCATTTAATGCCAAAATTTTATTTTCTTAGGAGGTTTGATAATTTTTTTTCAAAAAGGTATTGCTGGTAATTTTTTTGCTATGAAAATGTATTGCTGGTATTCTAACTACAAAAATGTATTTTTATATATATTCATCAAGATTTGAGCCCAGTTTGAGGGATAACTATTTGCCCATAGCTGGGACCCTAATAGGTGCTACTACCTTGTGTTAGGGTGGACTTAGGAACAAAAACAATTAAGAGGTGATTCCATGTTCCTAAAAACCTCCTGATCAGAGGCCTTGCTGCTGGTTGTAGTTTATCATCATACCCAGGATGAAAATTCATAAAGTCAAGGTACCATAGAGCAAAGTCCATGAAAACAATTATCATAAAAGTATTTATAGAAAAGGTACAGGAAAGCTACATTATAGCAGTTAGAAAATGACTGAAGATGAGATGCCAGGTCAAGACTAATAATATAGCAGATTCTTCTTTGGTAGACTTATAAATATGTCAGACAGATTCTGAATAAGAAAAATTGTCTAGTGTGACACAGGTAACCAACTTTTCTAAAGGCAGACGTAGCAATTACTCTACATATCTCCACTTCCTCAGTCCTTGTACACCCTTAAAACAGCGTTATTAAGTAACACACTAACTTGACTGGCTTTTGGACCTTGTATTGGGTGAAAAACAAAAAGGGTGTGAGCCCAATTACAGATTAAATAGCAGGGTAGTATGGGCTGTCTAACCTTAGCAGTCCTTCTTAGAGAAAGACAATTCTGAATCTGAAATTGTGGAGAAGGTAAGGAAAACCTACTTTAAGTTGAGGCAATCCCCCGATGCTAATTAAGAAGAATCCATAGAGAGCCATGGTTACATACATCCTGAAGAGACGCAGCGTTAAAAAGGATATTAACGCTCCTCCATGTAATGTATAACCTTTTATGTAGAATTTCTGAAAAAATACTGTAAAACTTACGTTCATTGTCACAATTATTTATATAGTGAGAGTAAATCTTAGAAAGCATTTGCAAAAACAAGATCGTGTCAGGGCAAAATTACTTTTAATTCTTAATACTAACTGACAGCAATGACGTCATTGAAAAGTTATGTATCATCATTTGAATAAAAACTGCCAAATCGTATGTCAATGGAAATTACTTAAATTGTTTAGAAACAGATTGCCAACAATGGTGTCAGTGGAAATCAATTATAATTTTTATAAATTGTGCAATATTTTTTCTCTCACAAATTTAGATACATAAATGTTTTTTTAATCATTTCCCCCCCAAGCAAGACAATGAAGCCCCTAAGATGCAAGGTGTTCCTCAGTGTTAGAGAATATAAAGAAGAAAAAAAAACACTTAAAAGAAGAGAGAATGATAAAAGAACAGGAATTAAAAGGACAGAAGATAACGATTGACATTGCATGTACATTTTTGAAGATTAAACTTGACTGGAAAGCAAGAAGCCAGATAAGAGATTCACAAGCGAGAAGTGTGAGAGAAGAAACTGCTAGCATATAACTTATGGTTACATCAAGCCATTTCAGCTGTAAGATGATGAGACCTTGCTGCCAATCTAGTACTGTGCTAATAATCATAGAGTCTAGGTACCAAAGAGGAAAGACCATCTGCACAATTACCATGGAAGTATTTATAGAAAAGGCAGAGGGAAACTAAATTACAGCAGTGGGAAAAGGACAGAAGCCAAGTGACCAGGTCAGGACCAATAACATAGCAGATTCTTCTTTAGATTTTATCAAGAATCTCTAAATGTATAGCAGGAGGGCCAGACCAGATTTGACAGCAATATTTAAAGCAAGAAGAAATGGTAGACTCTTAAATATTTAACATAGATACTGGAAAGAAAAATTGTCTAGCATGACAAAGGTCTGCTTGCTAGGAAAATTGGCCTTTTCTTGA